GCGGGTATTTTCCCATGTCATTGTAGTTGTGCTTTTAAAGTTGTAGCAACGTTTCAGCAGAATCTCATCTGCCATCATCAGGCTTCTGTATTGTGTCCGTCAATAAATATATATATATATATATATATATATATATGATAGTTTCTTAAATATAGGGTAGGATTCTGTGGTGACAATATGCCAATGCTCACAGTGTGAGGTAAAATATTACTAATTTCTATGGTTTGATGGCTAGGAGATGGCAATAACTAGATCTACCTTGAGAAACATTGGATACAGTTCTGGAACAGTCTATCACACAATCTGAAACAAATGAAAAGATGGCCAGCCATTGAAAAAAATTTCATACAATTTAGCACCCTATTGCAAAACTAATTCATAAATAAGTTATTCGAAAGTAACAGAGATCCTGGGGCAGCTGTTCAGGATGATGAACTTGATATGATTAGGAAAGATAAGCTAATCCCTGGAGCATTCCTCCCTCCCTCATGATTTCCTCTCAAAAAGAATATATCTGTCCTCTTTTAATCTGATTGATTGGTTCAGCATGCAATGTTGAGTATGCTTCAGTATGTCCATGCCATTGAGATAAAATGGTGAAGAATTCATAGTGTTCTCAGGTGTAAAGTACTACTGGTATATAAAAACTAAATGCATCAACTAAATAATAGAGCATGTATTACTTAAAAATGCAATTTTATTGTACCTAATGTATTTTTTTTATTTCTGCAAATGTATTTATACTTGACACCAAGCATTATGCAATCAAATAAAATAACATTGCAACCTCTGCTTCCCCAGACAAACAACAGCTTGGGGGAAGGGGGGCAAATCGCTTTTCAACTCTAGGATCAGTTGTGAGTTTGTTTTTCGAGCAGCTGTGTTTTAATTCAAATATGAAAAATTATTATGAGGCGGGTTTTATTTGGTAAGAAGTTTAAGGGTATGGCAAATACAGAGAAGGCCCTGCTCTTTACTTCAGGCTGATATTGTTATTGGATGTCCTACATTCACATCTTTGTTAGATACAATTACCTATACCATATTTAATACCTATATTAATTTAATATCACATAGCAAAGTGTGAGCTCTCCCACCTGTTTAATGGACCTATTAAAGTGGAAGAGCCTGAAGCAATGCTGCCAACGTGTGACAATGAACTCAGATACAGACTTCCTGGGAGATTTATGATTTACGACATACATACAAGGTATGACAAGAATACATAATGACAGGACAGACAAAGGATATAAGTATAATGATTTAAATTGAGATGAAATAAATAAAATAGAATTAAGAGAGTTAAAAGAGAGGAGAAGCTATATAGAAAATGTAGAATGCTAATAAGATATGGAATGGTATATAAAAGTGAGCATGAACTTGAATTTATGTCTGTACGAAGAGATGTAACCCGGGATCAAGCTGCTTTCAAAAAAGATGTTTTATGCTTTTATGTTTTGTGTTTTGTTTGTTTATGTTTGTTTTTTAAAAATCAATAAAAATTTTGGGGAAAAAAAAGAATACATAATGATGGCAGAATTAAGTCTAATTGCAATTCAAACTGTTTTTCCTGGTTTCTTAGACCAAGAGATGCTTGAATTCCCAGAATTTTTAGACAACAAGGCCAACAGGAGAAGAATCCTAACCTAGTACTTTTGAGGGTAATCAGGTTGGGGAAGTCTGGTCAACTGGCAACGTATTGGTGTGGGTTTAAGTTCAAAAGATAAGACATGTTTTTATGTTACTTTTGTAAATGATACCATCTGCATATGCCCATCTTCGTGGGTGTTTTTTCTGCCCAAGGAGATCCAATCTGGCATGTTTTCAGCATGGTCTGCTCTTGGTTGTTGGGTTCATGTGGAAACTGTCCAATAAAATGAACTAGATCTTTCTGCTGAAATCTATTCTGAGTGATCACACACAAGCAGGAGAATTAACATATCAAAAATCAGCAAGCATCCGTATTCCAAAATGCTGTGTCAATGAACCTCAAGCAGGAAATCAGCAATTACACCCTAGACATGCCTTCCTTCCAATAAGATTTGATCATCTTTTGGTTCAATAATAATGTTTTCATGCAAGATGAAAAGGTGTTCCTGTGCTAGAAGGTTGCAGCTGGGTACATGCCCTTGTGTTTCATAAATATGGTGCAAAACAGTACAGACACTAAACACAGAAGCTACATTTGCCTCTCTAAATGGCAACCAGTGCTGTTAAGCACTGCCTGCGGGCTTTCAACCTTGCAAATGAATGTCCCACAACCACATAGCAGTGATTGAAGATACAGTTGTAATTTAGTTTCCTCCAGTCCAGATAACTTTCAGAAGTCTTCATAAGCCAGGCACAAATTGGGTAAGCTTCATCTGCCAACACATGTGCGGAAATAAGCACCCCACCAAGTATAATAGTTGGATTAGATGGCACAAAAACACCTGAATCCATTGCCTCACAGAGGGAGGATGTACTAAAGGTGAAGTCCTCATGCTTCTTACCATTCCAGCTCACTTCGATGTTTGTGAAGCAACCAGAAGGAAGCATGATCCCTTGAAGGAAGAGCAATAACATTTCCTTGTGGTTTGCATACTCATACTCCTGTCTATTGGGATACAAACTGGTATGCAACAACCATCCATTGCTCCCAACAGTGTGGAAAGCCCATCTGTCCAAAGCCATCCATGATCTAGGAAAGAAAAGAGAAACCAGCTGAAATAGTTAGGGGGAAAAATCAACAAAGATGCACTCAGTGATGATCTGAGAAATTTGTAAGATGCAACTTTAGGGACCTTAGGACACTGAAGACAATATCAAAAATGGGAAGGGACGATAGAATTGCCACACTGGCACCTTTATGCAGGAATATGTTAGGTTCAGTTTTATTTCAAGAATACTTGCACAAGAAAGATATTCATCCCCCGTCCAACCAATCAACCAACTTTGTCAACCTTGATCATTCATTGGATACATTGGAAACATAGCTTCTGATATTCACCCAAGCAAATGATATCATTTAGAAGAACATGCTTTATTGCAAAGCATACCTCAAACAATTGTGCCCACTACTGATCTCTCAAACACCAAAATGTTCGGCAACCTCCCTGTAGGAAGCCATGGTTGCCAGCCACCACACAACAATGGTTACTCACTTCTTCACCGAGATTGGCTTTCGCATAATGATCAACTTGATCAGCCATGTCAAAGAGTGTCTTCCTTGGCGTCCTGAAGTTCACTAGACACAGGTTCACTAGACACTTTTCATCTCCCCATTCCCCCAAGAGGAGGTCCTTCCACCAGTTGATGTGGGTAGAGCAGACCTCCTGGTGTCTGGAGGCTGGCGCTGAGCCCAGGAGAGCACCCATTGCCATTCTCCTCAAGTGGATGGTTTGTTGAGACCCATGACTGAGAAGCAGCTGATCTCTCTGCAACCTGTTCAGCAAAGGCCCAGAGATTCCTGATCTTTGCTAGGACTCCTCTTTTGGCTCCTGGCATAACTTTACAGTAAAGGTGGAAGTACTTCACAGGCTAACTAGGAGCACAGGGGGAAACAGCACAAAGGTCCTGTTCTGTTGGAGCTGACAAGTCGTAAGGAGGCAGTTCAGAGAAGCTAGAAAAGGGGGCGGTTGGAGAGACAAACTGTGGCAAGAAAAAGGGCATCTTTGATTGGGCAGATTCCGCCGACGCACCCTTGGTAAACAAGACCCTCTCTCCCTTTTGCTACCAACTTGCATCTTCGCAAGCCGCGGAAAACTGAGGGAACTTCCGAGAGAAAGCGACCTAAGAAAGGGAACTGGGCGCGCGCACGGATGAGAAGGCCTCCAAAAGGAGGCGAAGCCGCCGGGATCAGTCTGCGAGCGCCCTCCCTCCCTCTGGGTTGGCGCCCGGTTTCGAGGATTGGTCGAGCCCCCGCCCCGTCTGCTGCAGCCCTTGGATGGGACGGCGGTCGCCGAACTCAATGTGGCAAGTAAAGCGCTTGGCGATCGTGGGGGTGGGGGTGGGGGTGGGGGGTGGGGAGCGAGGGCCGGGTTATACGAAGCGCGGTCCGGTCGCCCAAAGTTGCGGTGAAGGAAGGGAGGAAGAGTGGGAGGACTCGCAGCTGGAGCAATGCCCGGCGCCCTTCCTATTTGTGGTGTCTGTGTCATGGCAGAGGAGGTTCAGCCCGAGCGATCAAGCCTGCTCTTTTTAAGTGTTAAAATGCGGGGTGTCCCGAGATGCGGCGATCTCTGGATCCCCTCTGGAATCTCGCAAGATCCGTCCCCAGTCCCCTCCCAAGCCGGTTAAAGGGGGTCTCCAACCTTGGCAACTTGTGGACTTCAACTCCCAGAATTCCTGAGCCTAACATGACTGGAGGAGGAATTCTGGGAATTGAAGTCCACAAGTCTTAAAGTTACCAAGGTTGGAGACCCCTGGGTTAAATAACACTCCCGATGCCACTTCCCCTTTTTCTGTACAGCAAGAGCCGCTGCTGCCAAACCAAATACCGGCTCCATTTCCAAGTTCGGAATATGGTTCTCTTCGTAGTAAACCTTATTAGAATCGGCACGCAAACATGATTTGCTTCGATTGCTCTTGCTGGTCCATTTTATCAAGTCATTCACATGCGGGTCCGCTCCGCGCCCGGTGGACTTTGGGCAGCTTTGGATATAGCGCGTCATTGGTGCTTTTCCTTCCGTAGTACGTTTTCGGTACTGATTCTGCTTTTTCTAAAATGCCGTGAAACGGAACGGGAAGGAAGCGCTTTGGGTTATTTATTGATTCCTTTTATGGATAATTAATCAAATTTGTATAGCTACCCATCTTACCCAAGGCTACACTTAATTCTCCACCCTGCCATTAGCTGGTTGCAAGAGTGCAAACAAGTTCGTCTGAGGAGAAGCCCCAGAGCTTAGCGATAAAACAAATTATAAAGCCGAGGTTCAATTGCAACTAACTTGAAGGAAATTCTGTTAAGATGAAGGCTATAATATAGAAGGGATACAACATTTGCCATGCCCCCCACCATTACAATCCTCACATTTTTACTTTTGTGTATGTGTGCCTTTGAGTCAGGCTTCACTCCTGAGGGCTGGTAAATGGACAAGTCTATGCAGTTTTTGCTGGCAGCGCTTTTAGAAGTTGGTTTACCCTTAGCTTCTTCCTAGAGCTGAGAGAAAGGAAGTGGCCCCAAATTACTCCACTGCCATTTGGACCTAATTCACAATCTCTTGGAGTCTTCAGGGCCTTTAATCACTTACACCATCCTGGCTGTCACTTAGACCCAGGCCAAGCCCAAAAGACTATATCGGTCCAGGAAGCATTGACATAACTTGCCTTGTCTGGATTGGTCTCTGCTTCGTTGCCCTCCTTCCCGTTTTTAGCCTGGGTTTGTTGGGAAAGGTAATTCACCCCCACTTCCCTTTATCTCTTCCAGTTTCTCAAGCAGGCTGCTTTCCTTCCTTTTTCTCTCCTTCATTCTTTCACATACAGAGCTGGATTCCTACAGGTGGAAATGCCACACTCTCTGCTTACCATGCTGCTCCTGCTGCTGTGCTCGGGAGCAGCTGCCTTCCGGATATGTGCCTTCAACGCTCAACGCTTTGCTCAAGGAAAGGTGAACAAACCTAAAGTCGTGGACTTCCTTGTCAAGGTAGGTGGCAAAGTAGCACATGAGTTCCCCCCCCCCAGCTGTTTCCTTTCCCTTTCTCTTTGCAGTCCTTGATAAGAAAAAAAAATATGGAAAACTAATTTCTTTTGCCTTTTTTAAAAATTAAATTTTAAATTTCCAGCCCTTATGAAGGTATGGGTAAAATCTGAAATATCCATTCAGAGCTTGAGATCAGTACAATGGGACTGACTTCTCATGTCTATCAGAAGCAAGTCAACCCTCCAAATATAAAACCAGTGAAAACTGGTTTAATTATCATAAAATGGTAATGGCTGCAAAATTAGGAGTCTTGGAGTTATTTTCTTTTATCTTCACATAAGAATTAATTATGATATGCAACAAGGTTTATATATTTGAATGTTTACAAACATATGCAGTATACATTTTTATAATGAAAATGGTGTAAAAGAGGTAGGCTTAGAAAAATTATCATAGACTAGCTATAGGAAGGTAATCTGCTTGTATTTGGGTGGCAAACAATAGCAGACATGGGCTCACATTAAAAATTAACGTTTGGAATTTAAAAAAAAACCACCAAGTAGCTTTCAGGGCCAAAGACTACTATTTCACATCTAGATTTTTATGATGATTATATATATATATATATATAAATGATTATGGAGGAGAATTACAATCTAAAGCAGCAGAGGCTTTACACAGATTTTCAATCTTACTAAGTTCCCAATATCATTATGTTATATGGACAGGGAATTTGTTGTGAACTGGAAACATAGTGTTGACCATGGAAACGCCTACCTGTAAAATGAAAATGAAAAGAAGCACTTCAGAAATGATTCAGCCAGGCCTCTGGTTTGTGCAGATGTTGCCTAAAAGAAAATAAAATAGGAGATGACCTCTGCCTTAAAATAATATCATGTGAACACATCATGGTAGATGTGTCCACATGATATATTAAACTTTTAAGTTGGGCTAGCCAAATATAATTACTGTAATCTCATATGATACAAAACCCAAACAAGTCACATTGTGGTTGAATGTGATGGCCCGGTTTACCCAACATGCCAAGCCAACCAGGCTCCCATGGAATGCCCAGCCACAACCCTTCTACCATGCTCTGGCCCAGTCTAATATCTGGAAACTAAGCTTGGGAAAAGTTATTTTAATCCGATGCATCCTGTAGAAATCCCAGTGAGGCCACGACATCAGCCCTCAAATGACGTGTCCTATGTATCAATGTGTCAATTGCCTCATGCTATGAATTATCCCCAGTGTATAATTTGCATCACATGTGCAATGATGCCATATATATGCCCAGAGCTCTGGATACTCATGTACCAATGCTAGAAGTCCATTTTAAAAGAAGAAGAGTTGGGTACATAATGCAAAACTCTTGATTCCCTTGTTATTCATCAGTACCCCTATACAATTCCTTCTCAAAATTATATTTTGCGAAGTTGGGCTTATTTCTAACTGAATTAAGCTAAGAGAAAAGCCATGGGAGCAGCTGGCAGCAACGTTCCTCTCCATCTTCCTCGCCTGATTACATTAACTCATTTTGCTGCTTTATCTGATTCCAACTTTCAGGACGAGCTGCAATCAGATCAGCTGAGCCCTATTGTGCTGACTCAGCCACAGCAAGCTTATCCCCAAAGAAAATTCAAAGGGATGCAAAGGGGTTGATTCTATTCCTCTGCTCTATTCCCTTCTTTTATGTCTACAGATCTTGGCTCGCTGTGATATCTCAGTCTTACAAGAAGTGATGGATGCCAAAGGAAAGGCAGTGCCTGCTTTGATGAATGCTTTGAACCAGTGAGTCTGAGGGCTGCAGAAGAAACATGATCCAAAAGATCAGAGGGACATAAATAGATGAACAGCCAGGGACGAGAATTTGGAGTGATCAGAGGCAGGAAAGGAAAGTGGAAAGGACCCATTTAGGTAGGAAAGGTAGTCCAGGTATTTGAAGAAGTAGCAATTGCCTTTCTCCTTATGGTATAACGTAGTTTGGGTTGCCAGGAGGGAAGGGAGAAAGAATGGAAAATATGGTCAGGAGAAATAAAGTGAACAGAATAACAGAGTTGGAAGGGATTCCCTGGTCAAGGAGGAAACCCAATACCATTTCAGACAAATGGTTGCTCAATTCATTCTTAAAAACCTCCAGAGTTGGGGCATCCACAACTTCTGGAGACAAGATGTTCCACTAATTAATTGTTCTAACAATCAGGAATTTCCTCTTTAGTTCTAGGTTTCTTCTCTCCTTGGTTAGTTTCTATCCATGGCTTCTTGTCCTGCACCTCAGGTGCTTTGGAGAATAATTTGACCCTGTCTTCTTTGCGGCAGCCCCTTAGATATTGGAACATTTTGCTATCACCCCTTGTCCTTCTATTTTTACTAACCATTTAAAGTTAAAACAGCTCCTCCCTAGCAATTGCAACAGTATCGTTACAGACATATTCAAATAGTTGTTTTAGTTTGGCAAGATCGGGAGGTTATCTAAGGGTAAAATTTTTCCCCACCTTTCCATAGTCATGTACTCTTTGTTCAGCAAATATAGCATGCTTAAATCCTATGGGGTTTTCTTTTCCCAGGTTTGATGACCTACACAGCTATAGTCACCTCACCAGCCCTTTGCTGGGGCGTGGAAATTATCAAGAACGATATGTATACATATACAGGTATATTCACTTAGTCCAACTACTTGTAGCAATATCTATGATTGGGGCTACATGTGTTATGGAACAAAAGGATAATAATGATGTCGCCATGTTTTTTAACATCTATGTCAGATCCATTCTAATCCTGAATTCCTAAATCTCAGTTATTTCTTGTGGCCTTTGAGAAGACCTCGGCCAACGCACATGGATATATGCTCACATACAAGCATTCCAAATCCATTTATTTTATTTGTTTTCATACCACATGTATACTCCACCTCAACATATAAATTCTCAATCTATTCTCTATCCATTTCTCATCCATCTATCAAACTATTATATCTGTCTGTCTGTCTGTCTATCGTATATCTATGTATGTATGTATCTATTTATCTATCTATCTCTATCTCTATCTATCTATCTATCTATCTCTATCTAATCTATCTATCTACCTACCTATCTACTATATATCATCTACCTACCTACCTATCCATACATACATCCACCCACCCACATTTCATTGCATCCTCTGTCACCTGTAGACATGGATTTGTATGCAGATCCATCCACCAACATGATTCACTTCCAAACATTAATAAATGCCTTCAGAATCATACATCTGCTATTTCCCAATTATCATCCTTTAGACACATTAAGAGCCTTTAAAGTTGGAGGAACCCAAGATTAAGAAGCTGTAAGATTCCACAAACTGCACATCTAGTAAGGTCTCACAATTTAAGTTGCAGGAGGTGAAAATAATTTGGATTTATGGGCCTAGCATAAGCACACAAGGGAGATCTTGTGGCACAGTCAGGGTTGGTTATAAACCCCATGTGACCAATCCTTGTCTTCATATAATCTGCTTTTATTGGTAGAAGGATAAAGGACAAAACAATGTGCTGGGAGTTGTCAGCAAGTTATGCCTTATAATTTATAACCCCACCAATTCTCCCTTCATAATGCATAATCCATTAAGCAAAGCACACACTGTACCCATAAAAGATGGCTTCTTATAAGACCTAAAATATGGGTGAAAAAAAGAAAAGTGACAAAATCAGCAGAGCTTACAGAATCAATGCAACCTTATTCCCTTCTTTACTTGTAAACATACAGTGGTCCATCCAAGGTAGGTGGAGAAATGGAAAGCGAGAAAAATCAATGGGAACACAAAAGGTACGGCAAAGAGGAACTCAATCCTTCCCCCATTGCATGGCCAAGGAAAATTCCTTTGGAGCTAGGAAGAGAAATTCAGCTTGGAGAGAAATATATTGTTGGGTCTTTAATGCTAGCTTTCATCTCCTTCCTGTGACCAAGTCTGTTTTCTGTGTTTTCCACTTCCTGTAGGAACCAGAAGACTTGGATACTGGATTACTATACATATGAAGACGTGCATCCAGACCGACCTGATGTCTTTGCTCGTGAACCCTTTATTGCCCGTTTCAGCATGGCAAACAAAGGTGAAATTCTAGATTATAAATGAGCAAGAAAATCCAGATCTCGGGAGAGGAATGATTCAGAGCAAAGTTTCTGGCATGTTTTTCTTAAGCCCCATTTCAAAGACTGCTGCTGTTCTAGAGGATTGTAACCACCAGGATGCTCTGGCCCAGGAATCTCTATTGTCCAGCCTAGTTGGATCCAGGGACAAATGTAAAAAAATTAGTAAATAGCAGGGCTTCTCCTAAAATGGTAGAGAAATGACTGTTCTAAAAGCGATATACAGGTTTAGTAAGTCAGGACCTCAAATGCCTAATGAGATACCCAGGAATACCAAAACATCAATTTAATAGAATATGAATTTCAGGTGACAAACAATATATTTAGCCTAGAAGTATACTGAGTACAGGATAACAATTGGATCTAAGACTGCATTGTTAACTTGCATACACACCTTCACAAAGCACAACATCATTATCATATTTATTTCGGAGAAGGAAAACTGATCACCCTTGGAAAATACTGATATTTCTCTCACCAAAACACACCACAGGATAACAGTAATGGAAGCAGAACAAGAACCTCTGCCGACACCTAATGCCATCAGTCAGTGGGACAATTGTTTGTTTTTTCTTTCATATACAAATTGCAATGTCTTTTTCCTTTTTTAATATAATATAATTTGAGTAGGAAGCCTAGCATTCTAGAAGGTGCTTTGGCTCTTCCAGCTGCCTCATCTTCTTTGTTTCCTTTCCCAAGAATTTTCCTGGCCCATGTAGAGCAGTGGGTGGGGACCCTTTGCTTTCCAGCACCTCTGGCCAGAGTTTTTTTTTTAAAGAAGAGTTTCAATGTTTTCTAGGACAGGGGTCTCCAACCTTGGCCACTTTAAGACTTGTGGACTTCAACTCCCAGAGTTCCTCAGCCAGCAAAGCAGGGGTCTCCAACCTTGGCCACTTTAAGACTTGTGGACTTCAACTCCCAATTCTGGGAGAACTCTGGGAGTTGAAGTCCACAAGTCTTAAAGTATCCAAGGTTGGAGACCCCTGTTCTAGGATACCTGCATTCAGAGGTTTCTTTCAAGTCTGATCCGAATAACCAGGGGAGAGCAAACAGAGGTTCCAATGTTTAGCTTGTTCTTGCTGTTGTGGCTGAATGTGCGTCTTTATTTTTTTAATTTATCCTGTACTGACTGTCCAAGTACCTCAGTGGTTCATAACAATCATGTGTTGAGTTTGGTTTCCAAAATGAGTGGCTGATCCTTACAGTTGTCTTCTTCTATTTGCACTTCTTCCAAGAGCTCCCAAAGCTGGTGCTGATCCCACAGCACACGATGCCTTCCAAGGCAGAAGCTGAAATCGATGCTCTCTATGATGTTTTCCTGAATGTTCAGGAACGCTGGGCCACAGAGGTAGGTCAGTGATCAATGTAAGAGGAAGAGAACTTATAGAAGGGCCCCAAGCATTTCCACAGCCCTTCCTCCCCCCCCCCCCCAGTCCTTTTCCACTGCCAATTGTCATCCCTACTACATTTGCAATATTCATATGACTTTGTATCTATGGAAACTCTATTCCCACAAAAGAAGACTTGTGATATCCATTCATACCAGCAGCATCTACAGCTTTCACCACAAGGAAAGCCGCAGCATTCCCTCACAGCACAATCTCCGTTCCTTTTCAGGCATGCACACAACGTCACAATGCACATAGGAAAGGGCAAGGCTTTTACTGCAATGGTATGATGTGCTGGTGTCTGGCTGCCCCTCTTCTCCCATCCTGTGCTCCCTGCCTAGTAAATGGTGCTGATTCAAACATAAGAGAGCGCACTTCCTGGAAAAGATGGTCTTGAAAATAACCAGGTTCCAAACTGCTTTTGTTCAATCTCAGAAAAAATAATAATCCTTAAAATCAATAAAGGTAGATTGAAAGTAGAATTAAATTTGTGATATGTGTAAAGCTAGTTATTATCCCACCAGCAACATTTCATCTGAATTTAAGTTTGCTGGGCCAATGCCAAGGAATGCCACATTAATATTGCTACCCCTTCATATCAGCTTATGTGACTAGCTAGAGTTTGCCATTTATGTAAAGTTTGAAAAAAGCGGCTAGAAATAATTTTTACCAATTCTGTGTTTGCTTCAACATTTCCCCCACTTACTTATGGTAGTCATACACTGCCATTCGATAAAATTCAGTACAAATAAACAAAACACAGAAGGAAAATAAATTGCCCATCTAATAAATAACAGGTTAAAACAGCATTTAGTTATTCATGCATGCATCTCATCTTTGAGACAAACTCATAACACGGCTTGTTATCCTTCTGCAATGTGTCACTGATGGTCCTTGGAAAGGAAGGTAATAGAGGTGAAGCATGTGGAACACTCAAGAGTAAAATAAAGTTTTAGTTGAACAATATGTTGATTGGCATCTATTTATTGATTTATATCTCTCTTTTATTTGTACAAATCAAGGTGGCATACATTATGCTCCCTTCTCCTATTTTCCCCATTACAACAACCCTGTAGGTGGGCTGGACTGAGAGAGAGAGAGAGACTGGCCCAAAGTCACCCAGTTAGCTTCCATGCCATTTCTCCGATTCTAGTTCAGCCTTTTAATTGTCACTTCAACCTGGTTCTCAATATAAAAACGTTTTGTTATTGTCTTTTGGAAGATGTTTTTCCCACTTCCCAGTTTAGCCTACAACCTTGGGGTTTCCTGGTGGTCTTCCATCCATGTTCTAACTGGGCCCCACCCTGATTATTTTTTCCAAGGTCAGCCATGTGCTGCCACTTGCTGATATCAAATGCTATATATCATTCTTGTAAAACATCGTCACATTGCTAGGTGAAGATCTGCCAGTAATAGCTGCAGCTGAGATAATGCTAAATTGCTAATTCTACGAGTCACTTATTGGTTTTTGAAAAATCAGATTGTCAACTCATAAATATTTCTATGGTCTTTTTAGAGTTGGCAACAGAAAGGGAGGGGGGAGCAGTGCAGTAGCTTGCAAACCAAAACTGCATTCCATAAATGTTTTCAAATCTAATAACAAAGTGACTGAAGTTTCTGCCGTGCAAAATTCTAACTGGAGAGCATGATTGATGACTCTTGACTATGGATGTTTCCCATTGGAGAATACGAATTACAATATATCCAGGGATGTGGGAAAATCAGGGTCAAGGGTGACAATGAATTATGTGCCTCAGAGTCAGCTACACCCAGGCAGTGCTGGACAGTTTAACTCCCAATAAATCCTTTTTAAGTTTTGGAAGTTTGGCTCGAGACTCATGATTTAAATGGGGGGTAACTGCCGGAATCCTGACACAGATGTTATTTCTCTTCCTTCCCACACAGGACATGATTTTCTTGGGTGATTTCAATGCGGACTGTGGATATGTGGCCAAGAAACGTTGGAAAGACATCCGCCTGCGCCAGAAACCTGGCTTTCATTGGCTCATTGGAGACCAAGCGGACACCACTGTTCGAGAGAAGACCCACTGTGCCTATGACAGGTGGGATCAGGTCTGCTTGGGTGCAGGACTTTTGCTCTGAAGGGCAGGGGGCTGCTTATCAGTAGGGCTCCCTTATCATAAAAAAGTGAGCTTATACCATCCTGACTTTTTAGAGTTATTATCTCATTGGATCACCAGCAGGATCCAGCACCCTAGCTTGGGTCAGATGAGTTTGTTGCAAGATCCATCCTGGGAATAATCCATTTCTTCTTCTTCCCAACAGGATTGTGATTCATGGCGAACGCTGCCTGGATGCTGTTGTGCCTGGATCAGCTCGGCCATTTGATTTCCCCAAGGAATTTGGACTTTCCGAGGAAGAGGTACCGGTCACTTTTGGAAGGGAGACTGAAATGATGTAACTACGTTCAGAAGAAAAAGCTATTTATTTCTTTGTCCATTCAGTTTTGTCTCTAAAAAGGGCACAAAAAACAACCTCCAAAAAGCCAAATAAGTACAGAAAATATAAGAAGGATAATCAATGTTGGTAAAATTACATAAGTGCAATAAATGAAGGAGAAGGATAATATTGTGCAGTGCACCCCCAAAACACAGAAATTTTAATTATATTCAAAACTCAGTGAATTTTTTCTAAAAAGGAAGGAAATATTTGTATATCAAATATATGTTTAAGGATGTGAGATACATCATCAGCATTATCATTTATTAAAGTGTATTCTGCTGGACTCATAATGATTCTGGGTTGCCAATCCTCAACACAAGAGGCAGGAAAGTCATACGTAAGATGTAATTTTTTTTTTTCAAATACCATGGTCTGAAACTACTTAGGACTTTCTTTGTAAGAAACGGTGCTTTGAAACGAGCTCAGAAACAATGCATGATGCTTTAAGAGATCAGTTTAGTGGAGAAAAGGGCAAAAACACATTAAGCCACAGTGTAGCCAATTAGTTTTTGGCTTAGTTTGTTGTGCAAACCTTTTATCCACAAAATAAAGGTAAAGATCATTTTACATTGTGAGCATTTTACATTGTGGGAACCAACTTCAGGTTCCATGCAAAAATTTTGTAGTTCAGGCACTAGTTCTCTGGACTAGGATAGCAGAAAGATATTTAAAGAGTGATGTTAAAGTCACAGGGGACTGGAAAATCAATCCCTGAACATGTCTACAAATGTCAAGATATGTTATATGACTCCCCTAATTAAATTGTATAATGTCTGAGAGATTATCTGCTTCTTCTCTTATTTTCTTCTTCTTCATTAAGTTCCAGTTGAAAGACCTTTCTCAACGATTAGATTGATTGGGATGATGGAAGCTATAATAATCCCACATCTCTGAAAAGTACTAGTGTGAGAAAGATTGGGCTAAAGTGATGAATTGGTGATGAAGGCGTTGGGTTCAGAGCAGAAAATAGGAATATTTCCACTTCTGATCCTTTTCTCTTTCTCTTCACTTTCCAGGCTTTAGAGATCAGTGATCATTATCCTGTAGAGGTGGAATTTGTCTCATCCTGTAAGAAGCTCCAGCCAGCTAGTTTAGCTGGTCTTGTGTTGCTGACCATAGTTGTGATATCAGATTCAAGATGTGGCATATGAAGGAAGAAGATGGCTGTTGTGCTAGATACAGGTGGAGGCTTACCGAAAGGGTACTTTTTGCTCTCACAAGAGCACTTGAATCAATTATGTTGACTCTAGATTCAGCTTTCATCTCTGGTGACTCCCTGATGTTCAGACAGTAAGTTCTGGGAAAGCCTGGGAAATGGGTCCAGTCAACAGGAGTGCTGCTTTACCACCAGCTTATGAAGTACTTAGGAGGTGAGAGCTTGACATCACAAGGAAACAACAGCCAATGAATTAATAGCCAGCCATCAACATCCCAGTCAACAACTGAAAAGCTACTTACAACCAGGCAACATATAAATGCCACAGAGAGAACAGCTGAAAGTACACACTCTACTAGAGAGACATTTCCTGAGGATGGGCTCCGGCACAAGTCCAAAAACTTGGAAGACTAAACCTCTGGTCCTGATGACCAACCAGAGTGGATCCTGCAAAATTAGGTTCTCCCCAAAGTATCTTCTCAAGATTGGCAAAAAGACCAAGCAGTAAAAATGTATACAAGGTTTGCTTGTCCAGTTGAGCCTTGCTTGGGCGAAGACTCTGAATTTGGGTATCTACTCACATTCTCAAATATCCTTACATGCTGACTTCTTGGTTCTGCTTCCTGATTGTATTTTGGCTCAACTACCTCAGGGATCCTGAATACTAGATAGATTTGGTCTCACTCCTGCCTTCTGTCAGAAACTCAACCTGGGTTCCAGGTTACAAAGAGGTCTTCTCATGATTTAAGTTCAAAAAGATGACAGCAGGACCTTCCTCAAAGATATGTATGTACTGTAGTTTGTATGTTATCATTTGCTGTTCGTTTGTTCTATATTTGCTCTATGTTCTGTTATACAGAAAATGGAACTAACTATCCATTAATATATGGGTTTTTTAAAAAATCTCTCCACTGAAATTCATGGGATGAAAATGTTTCATGCCAGTTCTGAGGCTGCTATGAAAATATATTTTAATGGGACTATGGTGAAATATAAGATGCAGTGAAAATCATCTCCTCTATTGTGCTTCTGCCTCCACCCATATTTTTGGATATTCTGATGGAAGATCTAATCTGGAGAAACACTCAGGCTGGCAAATGATTTTGCTGTGATATTTTGCAAGTGGTAAACATGGCGGTGACATTTACATCTTACAGCTTTACAACATATCTTGCATTCTACCAATATAGTAAGATTTCTCTCCCTCAAATGGACTATCTCAAACATAGGACGTCTTATCTGGTATCTTAATCAGATTAACCAAAATGACACAAATGTGTCATATTTGAAATTGCCCATAACTCTTCATCATGTGATGTGAAAATTAGGATAAAAAGAGGTTGAGAGTAGTAGCTCAAAAATTAAGCTAAATAAATAAAAATTAAGCTAAATAAATAAAAATTAAGCTAATTAAATATGATCTTTGCAGTTTAACTCAATCTGGAAGATTGCACCAAGCTTTCTGGAACAATGAAATAACCTTGATCAAAAGGATATGGAGACAAAAGAAGAAAAGCAAGAATTAGTCATTATTTAGTCAAGCAAGTAATGGAAAGCCTGATCGTTTCTTTTTTTCCTTTTATTAAGGAACCTCATTTGGTCTGAAGAATTCAGTTAAAAAAGAAAAAATGACAATCATTAGTATTTAGATCACATTTTTAGAAAATGTAAGGCATTTGTATTCCTTGAAATGATTGTTCATGAAGGCTTAATTCAGCTATTTTGCAGATGGGGAATTGAAGCTGAGAGAAGCTCAGTTCTGAATATCTCTTCAGTGGAGAGCTAGATCTTTATGCTTCTAGTGCCATCATGTCAAAAGTGATCATTTTACAAATTGCAGATGTGCAGCATTTATGTGCAGATCAGTCATAAGGAGTGAACATGGGCCATACATCACAGCTGAATTTCTAGTCAGTGTATTTGGTTTCCATATTGCTCCAAAAAGAATGAACATGTGTTTTCAGTTGCAGTGGATAACTTCAGTAGATATCAAGTTGGATTCCTACCTCTTCTGAAATTTGCAAATAAAAAAAACTGTCGGCTGCTGGGGGAAATTAAGATCTCTCCTGATCTAATCTTTTACTTAAACAAGTGATCTATGCAAATGTAAAAAGTTGACTGACTTGCAATCTAATAACTGTTTTACTAGGGAATGCCAGTGGGGTTCTTATGGCCGTGGGCTTTCCAGTATAAAATGTGTTAATTGGGTAAACAACTAAGGTTCAATACAAAAGAATATTGGTATTTTCTTTCTTATTTTTGTAAAGAAAAAAAATCAGCTCCTTGGACTTTATTCTGAATTCTTACAGTTTCAGAAAAAATGTACATAGTTGTTTTATTTGTAAAACTGGGTATTCCTGTGTTGAAAGTTCTTTTCATAGATACTTGCTGATTTAAAACAAAATCACATTTTACTTCTGCTACAGAAGGCTTCTTTGGGAGAAAATTCAAATTTAACACGTATTTAGGTTTCTATCGTTTCTGCTCAATACATTTTCTTCCATCTTCAATGGACAGGGTGAATCAATAAGCCTTTTCAATAAGTGCATTCTGGAGACTGTTTATGTATACAGGTAGTCCTTGACTTACAACCATGTGTTTAGTGACTGTTCAAAGTAACAATGGCACTGAAAAAAGTGATTTATGATTGGTTTTCACACGACTGTTGTAGCACTCCCCATGGTTATGTGATAAAAATTTGGATGCTTGGCATATATTTATGACAGTTGCACTATCCTGGGGTCCAGAGGTGGTATTCAGCAGGTTCTGACCAGTTCTAGAGAACCGGTAGCGAAAATTTTGAGTAGTTCAGAGAACCAGCAAATCCCACCTCTGACTGGAGATTTTACAGTATCCTTCCCCTGCCATGCCCACCAAGCCACGCCCACAGAACCGGTAGTAAAAAAAAGTTGAATCCCACCACTGGTCTGAGGTCATGTGATCGATCCCCTTTTGTAACTTCCCAGCTGACTTCTGACAAGCAAAGTCAATGAGGGAAGTCAGATTTGTTTAACAACTGCATGATTCACATAACAATTGTGGCATAAAAGGGAGTGCAACTCAATAATTGTCTTGCTCGGCAATGGAAATTTTGGCTTAATTGTGGTATTAAGTCAAGAATTACCAGTAGTTTCCCTTCTTTAGCGGTCAAACAGAGAATCTGGATACTAAAAAACAAGGGTGGACAGTGAATAACAAGGAACGTAAACATCAGCACAGAACCATGGGAATAAGATACTTGATACTTTACTTCTTGACTCAGGGAACATTTCGTAATTATGTATATGTTTGGGGTATGTGTGTGTGTGTGTGATTCCAGCCTATCCCACCGAGCAGTGGGAATTAATTTTGTACAGTATAAATATTATATATTTTACAGCACAATGTAAGCTATATCAATACCTGAAAATCGGCAGCAAAAATAGCATTGACATTTACATGTTGAAGTTCAGTTCCCTGGTTTGCTTAAAATAATAATAATCTAGGCCTCAATAAGCAGAGATAAACCTGTGAGTAGAATTTTCCATATGAATCAGTAAGTTTCCTAAGTCCTTCATTTATTGTTTTAATATGCATCTTCATGACAGATTTGTCACGATGAAGGAAAACTTTAGAAGAGTTTAGATCATTATATGGGGAAAAAATCCTTAATGTATTTCTGCTGATTCATGTATTTCAGCACTTTCTGCACTTTTATCACTCCCTAAAGTTGAACACATGATTAAGGTAGTTTTTATTGTAATTTTAAATTTTAACCAAAAAGGGGTTGCCAGTTAATGGACATTGAAGTGGATGGAAAAATTTGTGGATTTTATATCAAGCTCTGGTTTTATGATTCATTCCACTTGTTTATTTTGTAAAACTGGTTCAAAAATTTTAAGAAGTCTGGCAAATATATGTAATATTAACTAAGGGATGAACAATGGTTTTAAACAGGAACTTTTAAATTCTTTCTAAATGATGCACCATTGTTTGAACTGGTTTCAACAGATTCCCTGGTATGTTTTGAAGATAACTCTGGCTTTGCACTATTTTCAATCACTGTCACACCTTATTTATAGCTTAGCTCTATTCCCATGACTAAACCTTGTTTTTTGACTTTGTTCTTTCCCATTAGTTGTAGTATTTTTAAACAACACCATTAATGGAAAATATAATGGAAGGTTATGTTTCGAGCACAGTTATTCAAGAAGAATCTTGCTTGAGTATATAAACTGGCAGCAAACAGCACTCCTTACTAGCACTGATGATATTACCTAGTTTGGGTAATGAAACGTCTGCAAGAAAACAAGCAAGAACCCCTCATTTCAACCCTTAGCTACAAATATTTTACTATCACATCTTGCTCGATGTGATAAAATTTATTGTAAGCATGCATGTGCATACAAAAGAGCTATTTTGGTCTAGTGGTTAAGGCAGGCTAGAAACTGGGAGTCAGTGAATTCTAGTTTTGCTTAGGCCAAGCCAGCGGGATGACTTTGAGCCAGTCACTCTCTCTGAACCCTGGGAAGGAGATATGGGTGAACCAGCTCTGAAAAACCTTGTGAAAAACCTGCAGAGACTAATCCAAGGAGTCTACACTGACTTGAAGGCACACACACACACACACGCACACACACACTCAGAAGTACATACAGCCATACACATAAACATGTTTGTAATACCAAATGGTGTATGCTCACACTGTAATGCCCAACTGCAATTGTACCATTAAACTGGATTGACAATCTTTTATGAAACATCAAACTGGATCAATAAAAGTATTGATTTGAAAAGGTAAATTGGCTAGTGTGGTTCATTCGGCCTTCCTCAGCTTGAACGCTAATGGAATTGCAATTCCAGCACATCTAGATGACAACAGGGTAGGGGTGGAAATGTCTAAACAAGAGTTCTCAAACAAGTTTTGGATCCTACCAGAATGCTCCCGAGGCCTATCCATAGGGGATGCTAAAGAATCAGGCATTAGATGGAAAGGGATTAGCCCAACGAAGTCCAGTGTTTTCTCTGCTGCATTGTTCCATGCCTAAACTCAACATGCAGCACAAAAGGTGGTGTCCTCCCCTTGCTGATGTGGCCATGTAGTTCTCTGCACCATTGTGCATTCCTCCTATGCAGCTGGGAGACACACATGCTCTCTCTCCTGCGATCAAATACATACTAGGCCCATGGCGCAAGCCTTCACCTGTCTGTTTCTCTTGCTGGGCATGGTGCTTGTGGCTGCGTCTTTCAAAATCTGTGCTTTCAACATACGAAGCTTTGGACAAGCCAAGGCAGCCAACCAGAGGGTGATGAGAGCTCTTGTCCAGGTGAGTTTATGATGGGACTAGTGGGGTGGAGGAAGTGGTGGCAACAGTGCACTGAGAGAGGCTGGCATTCAACCCAGATTCAGAAGTGATCCAGGGACAGCTGGAGAGATGAAGGGCAGAAATGGAGAAGTCCTCCTTCAGGCATGGGAATTATAGGGTTGCTTTGGGTCAGTCACTGTCTCAGCCCAACCTGTCACACAGAGTGGCTGTTGTGGGGGGGGGGGGAAAGGAGGAGTGTGTATGCCACCTTGATATCCTAATGAAAGGTGAAATATAAATCTAGGAAAGAAATAGAAGTGTCCTCATCCAATGTAGTTGTGACAGAAATCAGGCACGGGCTATCAAAGTATATGAACAAAAAAAAGGGGGGGGGGAAATGCAACAGTTCACCCATCAATTGGGAAATGCCACATCTTAAAATAAAAATTGACACCTTCTTCAGCTAAAGTAGAAAGCATGTTGCTGTAAACAAAAGTGTCAGTGTTTGAACAACTAAGAAAGGTCTCTGATTCAGTTTGAGTCTCTCTAGCAGAATTGGAAAGTGCTGCAGTTGCTTTTCTGTTTTGGTGGTTGGAGCTGTGTTTGTCAGTCTGGGGGTGATTGGAGGTGAGGGACATAGTTGAAGGTGGAACCTTTTGGAAAGTGACCAGGAGCAGGATTTTCTTTTCCTCCTGTGATTTCAGAGAGAATTTGGATGTACCTTTATCTATTTTTGTCTATTTAGAAGTTACCTTGCATTTTTTAGGATTCATGATATACAGTGTTGGGAAATCGTTGCTATTTTCCAGCAAATGTAGGAAGAAGGGATTGGGGAGGTGCAAAAAGGGAATTTGGGAGCCTGGAGAAGGTTTAGGACTTCTTTTACCAATGTTGGTGTTGACAGTACTGAACTTGGTTGACCAAAGATCAGAAGATTGCCTAGGTTAATACATATCAATCATCCTTAGCTAACCAAAAGATTTTCTTCTTTTAGTAAGATTAGGATGATCTAATTCTTGTTGATGAATGCTCAGTGAACATCATGAAAAATTGGAAGAGGGGGTGAGGAGATTGGGAAAATAATGGAGGGGAGATAAAATATGAACAATCAGGAGACCAAAGACAAGTTAGATGGCAGTTTATTTTACAAACAGCAACTCATCACAGGTAGTGAGAAATTCAGGAAGAAGCACTTGAGCTCATTCAAAGAGACTGTTTTAGCGAACTCAGTATAAATAAGGGTTGGGAATTCCTCTTATGTTTTCCAAGGTTTTGCATGTTGCCCAATACCAGCACTGAAGACACCATGCAGAAGACCATGCGATTCTTTCTTCCTTGAGCTTGCCCAGCTGTGGGAAGCTTGACCACATTTATCATTTATGGGAGAGCAGATTGCCCCGTAGTATTGGCCTCTGATGCTTTAATCTTCCAAGGAGCAACACCAGATTCTTTTACAAATAATGTAGAGCAGTGTTTACAAACTTAGCAACTATAAAATGTGTGGACTTCAGAATTCCCGAGATGCTTTGGTGAGCATCTCAAGTCATGAGAATGGACATAACAATAACAAGTGCATCTTTTTCTTATATCCAGATCCTGTCTCGCTGTGATATCTCTGCTGTGCAAGAGGTGCGTGACTCCAAGGGACTGGCTATTCAGGCACTACTGCAGAAGCTCAATAGGTACTAGCAAATAATTCTAATCGTAATGTACCGCAGAATAAGATGATCTGCAGACAATAATTCAATAGGGTGAAAGTATAGGATCACACTTCAAGCTGTGCACCAAAGAAAGAAAAGCATTAAAATCTGTAGCATTGATATTGTACCTATTATTCATATAGCAATAGCAATAGCACTTAAAGACTTATATACAGCTTTACAGTGCTTTACAGTGCTCTCAAGCGGTTTACTTTACAGAGTCAACAAAGTGCTCCAACAATTTGGGTCCTCATTTTACCCATTTCAGAAGGATGGAAGGCTGAGTCAGTCTTGAGCCTGGTGAGATTTGAACTGCCAAATTGCAGGCAGCCAGCAGGCAGCAGAAGTAGCCTGCAGTACTGCACTCTAACCTCTGTGTCACTGCAGCTCAATATAGATTGTCTTAATGTTTTAATTCTTCCATCTTCTACATCTGACCTGCAGTCTTATTCCATTCCCCAAAGCTCTGTTTCTAGGAGCTTCTGGGTTCTGCGGTTTGAGTGTTATCAAGGACAGCACATTCTTATTTAATGAACTGCAGCCTTTGTACATCCAAGGAAGACACGTATAGAGATGTCAGTGTTATTGTGGCCAATCCTTAAATACCTTACCTGGGAAGTAAATGTATCTTGGCATTCTTCTGTATGGAGTGAAATTATATTGTATTGATTCTAAAACAGGTAGAAAGCAACCATAACTTTTGGGACAAAGTATGTCCCTGTAAATATTAGTTTAGAATCAGGGAAAAGAGAAATCACCACCAACAGTTTTATCTCTTCTCTTGGGAGAGGCAATAGGCGATTTTCCTTAAACCTGGAACCAACGGTACAGTCTCAACGGGAAGGTGGCTTGTTCTTTTTAGCAACACAGCATCACTGATTTTCTCCTTTCCTATCCCCCACATGGCAGGTATGATCCTTCTCATCACTACAGCTGCCTAGAGAGCAAGAGACTTGGACGAAGCAGCTACAAGGAGCAGAATGTCTTTGTATATCGGTAATAATATCTGCGGATCTGGAAATAGCATTAAACCAGAGCTTCCAGTACCAAAGCCAACACTGGCTTGTAACTGCTACCAAACTTTATGTCAGGATTCCGGCAGTTACCCCCATTTAAATCACGACTCTCGAGCCAAACTTCCAAAAGTTAAGAATTTATTGGAAGTTAAACTGTCTGGCACTGCCTGGGTGTAGCCGACTCTGAGGCACATAATTCATTGTCACCCATGACCCTGGTTTTCCCCCACCCCCTGAGTGTATCGTAATTCATATTCTCCAATGGGACACATCCATAGCCAAGAATCATCAATCATGCTCTCCAGTTAGAATTTTGCCTAGCAGAAACTTCAGTCACCTAGTTACTATCTTTATAAACATTTATGGAATGCACTTTCGGTTTGCAAGCTGTCGCACTGCTTCCCTCTCCCTTTCTGTTGGCAACTCTAAAAAGATCATAGAAATATTTTATGAGTTGACACTTTATCTGTATACCAACATTTACATATCAGTCTTTATTTCTTAATATATCTGTCCTGCCTATGATTTATCTTCTCAGTAGATTTGTTTGTGATTATGAGCCTCAAGTTTATGTCATCTCTTAATGATCACATAAATGTAGATAGATTTTCTTTAAGATGGTCTGTCCCCAGTCTGGTTCTTCAAAAGAATCTCAGGCCATACGATGATAACAGTAGTTGTCCAAGGTGATTTGTGGAAGGTTGTCTCAAATCTAAATTCATCTTCATATATAATGTAATGGTAAGCTCTCTGATAAAAATTCAGATAACAGTTGTGCAAACAGCTACAAGCTTTTCACTACCATTGAAAAAAACTTCTCTAGATTACAGGAAAGTTAGTTAAAGGAAACTAGAAAAATCCTAAGGAAGGAGGGAGTGAATGGAAAATAGTACAATTACCGAAAAGTCTTATATTCCTTTTCATTTCAATAAACCTTGTTAAAAAGATTCTGTGAGAACCATACTTGGATAGAAATACTTTGAGTTTGAGGCAACTGTCAAAAGCCTGACATACCAAGGAAACAAAAACCAGAGGAAGATTCCATACTTAAGTCTTTTGGATAATGAACTCTCTTGGGGACAGAATCTTTTTATCCTGTATTTTTCTCATTGACAGTCGGGATGCTGTGTCAGTTATGGCTTGGTGCCAAGTTGGAGATGAGGATGCCAGAGATTTTGCTAGGGGACCCTTTGCAGTGCATTTCCATTCTCCACACACAGGTAAGCTTTAGTGGTTTTGTTCATAGGTCTAAGGACTTGTTCTAGGCAAAAATGTCTTCAGGCCAGGACCCCAGTGGCCATCCAGTCAGATATGGGCAAGAGAAAAAAATATCAGGAACTGAAATCCTTGTATTTTGTAACCACAACTTTCCAGCTCTGAAGTAGGTATAGTACCTGATTATAAAAAAATATAATCCAGTAAATATGGTGGAATTTTGTGGCTAATTGTTCTCTTAGCTGTATAGAACATTAACTAATAATGGAACAGTTAATGGGGCTACAGGCACGATATTATGTATCCTGTGCTTTAAAAAAAGCACATTGGAGTAATAATTCAGCATTCTGAATTATTCAATAACATCCAAGTAATTTTTTGGACCAGTATTGATGATTTACAGTTATTAAATGGAAGAGCTTAATATAAATCTAAAGTGTACTTTATGATATTCTTGAAGTATAACATACTGAATGTCCATAATTATTTGCAAACAACCAAAAGGACAAAAGCAACACAAGATACAATTGTGCCATGACATGTTTCTTTTGGGTCCAATTTTTGTAGCCACGAGGAAGTTCTTCCAAGGTGTTTGGAAGTGTACTGCTTTTTTATGCCTTCACCTGCTGACTGCTGTAGTCCCTGCAATTTTCTTGGCAAGGTTTTCAGAAGTGATTTGCCTTCTCCTGCTTCCTACAACTGAGACAAAGAGACTGGCCCAAAGTCACCCAGCTGGCTTTTGCTAAGGCGAGAACGCAGACTAGCTTTTAGCTTGGCGCCTTAATCATTACACCAAGCCAGTCCCTGGAAACGTATTGGTAAGATGTGGATAAATGATCCTTATCAGCTCATATTGTCTGTATTATTATCACCTCTACACAGTGGCTTCAGACTTTGTGCTACTCTTGCACCATACCTGTCCTCAGGAAGCGGTTCATGAGCTTGATCTGCTGTTTGAAGTATGCATGGAGCTAATGCACTGGTGGAAAACGGAGGTACATTCTGGGAGCAGGGGGGGGGGGCATATTGCTGAATTAGATGAGCCAAGGAATGCTTCCAATCCTCCTTCCTGCCCCACCTCAACAGAATGTGATGGTGCTGGGAGACCTGAATGCAGGCGGTACCTACATCCCAAGGAGTGCGTGGGCCAGGATCCGCTTGCACAATCACCCTGCCTTCCATTGGCTTATCAGCGACGAAGAAGATACCACCGTCAGCCACCGCACTTGCTGTTCTTATGACAGGTACTAAACGGCAGCTTTCAAGTTCAGTCATCTGCTTTCTTCAAAACGTTTCCATCATCCTACGTACAGTCGTATCCTTGTCAACCTTAGAGGCAAGAGTCACTCATTAGTAACTTGATAGGGATGCTCTGTTGAGTAAGGCAGGCACTAAGGTTAGAAATGCAGGCAGAACACTTCTGAATCCTTTCCCCAGTCAGGCCTACCAGTCCTCCAGGAATGTTACACTGTTCTGCTTCCTGACATAAATTGGCCACCTGTAAAGTGCCTTTCTGAAACCTGGAAACAGAGCCCAACTGACACTGTGTTCCTCTTAGAATCATAGTTCATGGAGAAGAATTACTCTCTGCTGTTGTGCCCGGATCAGCAAAGCCATACAATTTCACAAGGGCTCTTGGACTGTCTGAAGAAGAGGTGAGTTGGCTTGGTTATTCTCTCCTTTAAAAAAGGGAATGTTTATACACTGCTCAAAAAAATAAAGGGAACACAAAAATAAGACATCCTAGATCTGAATGAATAAAATATTCTTATTAAATACTTTGTTCATTACATAGTTGAATGTGCTGACAGCAAAACCACACAAAAATTATCAATGGAAATCAAAGTTAGCAACCCATGGAGGTCTGGATTTGGAGTTACACTCAAAATTAAAGTGGAAAAAAACACTACAGGCTGATCCAACTTTGATGTAATGTCCTTAAAACAAGTCAAAATGAGGCTCAGTAGTATGTGTGGCCTCCACGTGCCTGTATGACCTCCCTACAATGCCTGGGCATGCTCTTGATGAGGTGGTGGATGGTCTCCTGAAGGATCTCCTCCCACACCTGGACTAAAGCATCCCCCAACTCCTGGACAGTCTGTGGTGCAACATGGCATTGGTGGATGGAGCGAGACATGATGTCCCGGATGTGCTCAATTGGATTCAGGTCTGGGGAACGGGCGGGCCAGTCCATAGCATCAATGCCTTCATCTTGCAGGAACTGCTGACACACTCCAGCCACATGAGGTCTAGCATTGTCTTGTATTAGGTCTCGGTACCTAATGGCAGTCAGGCTACCTCTGGCAAGCACATGGAGGGCTGTGCGGCCCCCTAAAGAAATGCCACTCCACACCATTACTGACCCACTGCCAAACCAGTCATGCTGGAGGATGTTGCAGGCAGCAGAACATTCTCCACAGCGTCTCCAGACCCTGTCACGTCTGTCACATGTGCTCAGTGTGAACCTGCTTTCATCTGTGAAGAGCACAGGGCACCAGTGGCAAATTTGCCAGTCTTGGTGTTCTCTGGCTAATGCCAAACATCCTGCAAAATGTTGGGCTGTAAGCACAATCCCCACCTGTGGACGTCGGGCCCTCATACCACCCTCATGAAGTCTGTTTCTGACCGTTTGAGCAGCCACATGCACATTTGTGGCCCGCTGGAGGTCATTTTGCAGGACTCTGGCAGTGCTCCTACTGTCCCTCCTTGCACAAAGGCGGAGGTAGCGGTCCTGATGCCGGGTTGTTGCCCTCCTACGGCCTCCTCCACGTCTCCTGATATACTGGGCTGTCTCCAGGTAGCGCCTCCATGCTCTGGACACTACGCTGACAGACACAGCAAACCTTCTTGCCCCAGCTCTCATTGATGTGCCATCCTGGATGAGCTGCACTATCTGAGCCACTTGTGTGGGTTGTAGACTCCGTCTCATGCTACCACTAGAGTGAAAGCACCGCCAGAATTCAAAAGCGACCAAACCATCAGCCAGAAAGCATAGGAACTGAGAAGTGGTCTGTGGTCACCACCTGCAGAACCACTCCTTTATTGGGGATGTCTTGCTACCTATGCTTTCCACCTGTTGTCTCTTCCATTTGCACAACAGCATGTGAAATTGATTGTCAATCAGTGTTGCTACCTAAGTGGACAGTTTGATTTCACAGAAGTGTGATTGACTTGGAGTTACATTGTGATAAGTGTTCCCTTTATTTTTTTGAGCAGTGTATATGGCAAGCCTGAAGAACCCAGACTTTCTCATTTTTATAGGCCTTAGAAATCAGTGATCACTACCCTGTGGAGGTGAAGCTGAAGCTTGCTCCAAAGACTCAGCGGGAACTCTAAGTTGTCCACCGGCCTATTATATAAAATGAAGGGAAATAGGGAAAGTAAGTAATCTCTAACCTATAACCATACTAAATAAAAGTCAAATGGAGCCCAGGAGTAGGATGCTGTTAACTTGTATATTGCTTTAGTCATAGAAGTGAACATCACTATCACTTGCTTCTCATTGTTTCCAATGTCGGTGTAATTTTTATTGCTCGCTTTCAATGTTGATCACCCCAAATACTGAAATAATTTCTGGGGTTCCACATCAGCTGCCAACTCTATTCAACTTGAATAGAGAGAACAGGCAAATTTTCCAGTTCAAACAATAAACATCTTTTGGGTGGGTGGTAGGCAGTTCTCACCATCCCATCTCTTCCCCAAAAGTCTAAAACTTCACCAAGGTGACCTCTTAGAGCAGAGGTCTCCAAACTTAGAAACTTTTAAGACTTGTGGACTTCAACTCCCAGAATTCCTCCTCCAGTCATGTTAGCTCAGGAATTCTGGGAGCTGAAGTCCACAAGTCTTAAACTTGCCAAGTTTGAGGACCCTTTGGTCATAAATGCATGCCAGCTGCCAAGTGTCTGAAGTTTGATCAGGTGACCCCCGGGATGCTGCAATGGTCATGTGAAAAATGATCATGTCATTGTTTTCAGTGCTGTTGTAACTTCAGTCACTAGATGAATTGTTAAGTTGAGGACTCCTGTATCGTGGAGCCAGTTCTCCAAAGACAGTCTTGCTTTGCTAGATGTGTTCAAGCAAAAGAAAGTGTGTCCGTGGACATTCTCAATCACTCAGGTCACGGTTATCTCAAAGGTGCTTTCTTGACAGCCCAGCTTCCCTTTGAAAATAAAGCATCTTTGGGGCAACCGAAAGAGAGCATCTATTAAATAGACTATTTGTCTAAATAGCCTTTTGCAGCTTTATGATATGCAGTAATCTTTGTTATTACTTGCAGGAACAAGAGTTTTACCACAAGTATGTATCAAAGTACTGGCAGCAGAATGGGCTTTTGTGGCCCTCAACAAGTGTGCTGAATCAGTTTATTATCTATATTTGAGAGTGAACGTAAGCATTTGTGGTCTACTTGATAAACATTCAGCTGTCTGAAATTCTTTAAGTTAAAATAACATTACCCATCTTAAGATAACAATAGGCTTAATAAGCAATCAAGATAAGTTATTTCCCCCCCCCCCCCCCCCAAAAAAAACAAAATGTATTATTACAAAACATTGAGCAGTTTTTTTAGCCCGTTAGGCTAAAATGAAATTATTCTGTGACTCAGAACTCAAGGCATTTTATCAACAAATAGCTTGATAGCTATGTTGTGTGAATATAGGTCTCATTAGTCTAGATTTAGGATGCTGTACAAACCAAACCATCGAATCACATTACAGTTGTTAGATTCATATCCTGTGTGAAGTCAGCCATTCTGTCTGGCTCGTAGAATATGGTTCATGGTATATCATGTTGTGTGAACTCACCACTTTACCCAATAAATTGTGGTAAAAACTACGGCTTAAGTCTAATTTGTGATCCTATTAACATATTGATTTAAAGGGGAGCATTTTAAGTAGCTTTTTCTGTCCAAGTAACCGTTTAAGAACAGACATTTCAAAAACGGGAAGGACAGACAAAATCATTATTAATGACCAGCAAACTCCAGTAGTCTATACAGAAAATAGCTAACTGCACTGATACGTTGCAAGGGTTAGATTGGTAACTGCATACATAGCCACTTTAGGCAGTTTTCAGACATTCCTACTGAAAATAAAATGTTCTAAAAACACAGAAGAGTCCAATTCTGAATTTTTGCCACGCAAATATTGGACTTCTGTCCCTTCCTTATGTATGTCAGTAACAGATCAAGCCAGAGACATTTGTTAATGTGAGAATTACATATTTTCAAGATGTACCCTAACAGTAACAATCACACAGCAGGTACACAGAACTGTTTATTTCTATTTCTTTTTCTGTCAAGAAATTAGCACAGTTGCCCTCACAACAGACTCTCATGCTGCATGCAAAGCACGCCATTTATCTAAAGGACCCCTGCTGGGTATGTATTTAACCCCACAGCCATCAGGGATGAGGCGCTTCTCAGACACCATTTCCTCAAACATATCAGCATTGAATTTGGTGAAGCCCCATTTCTTAGAAATATGGATCTGGAAAAGGAAAGCAAGAGAGAATAAATGAGAAGAATGGCCGGGAATGCAATCTCTGCTGAAAAGACTGAAGCAGCCTATATAATTGCCTCCAAAGAGCTAAGAGCCACAAATGCCTACATTCTCATTCCATCTAGAGGCAGTTACCGTAACATACGAACAAGGCAGGGAAAGAAATGGAGAACATGTCTTTTCCCAAACCCTTCTTTATCAGCAGTGGACGTAGGAGGCGTCTATATTTTCTCCTCTATGCTGAACTATATTTGTGTTCCCCACATACTTCATCTGCATGCTACAGTGTATTTGTGTACTGGGAAACAGTCAGCTCTGGATCATGTGAGCAGAAGAGGGAGGGGGAAAAAAGAGGGATTACAATGGACTAAACTGGCAGCAATCTAAGGCTGTGCTGGCTGGGGAATTCTGGGAGTCTACACATCTTAAATTTGCTGAGGTCGAGAAACATTACCATTCTCCCGCATAGATGCACTGGGGACATTACTTTTCTCTGCACTTCCCAGTCAGGTTTAGACCAAGTTTCTACTCCCCCCTATTTCTGCCTTCTCCCCATTTATTCCTATTGTATTAACTATTCAGGGGTACCCAGCCAACAAATAAGAATCCTAAGCTGGTGATCTATTTCCAGCACTCCATTAATGGGATTTGGAAAGAATAAAAAGGAACCTTTATGGAACTAACACGTCTATTTTGATCATGGTGAGGCATAAATGTAATAAACCAGAGGTAAGAATAGCAACGCAATGACATGGTCTCACAAGCAAACTGATATTGAACATTTACAAAAACCTACCTTCTGACGTCCAGGAAATTTGAATTTGGCTCTGCGCAGCGCTTCAATAACGTGCTCCTTGTTTTGCACCTTGGTGCGGATAGACATGATGACTTGGCCAATGTGTACACGAGCCACAGTGCCCTGAGGCTTGCCAAAAGCACCACGCATTCCTGTCTGGAGCCTGATAAGAAGACAAAGCGCAATTTGCAATTTGTACATTGCCCTGATGCTGGTGCCATCAACAAACTACCAACCAAGCTCTTTTAACGTAATTTCTCAACACTGAAGTCAACCACTCACATTCTGCTTGTAACTATAACTTGACTAATATATGTTCCCAAAGTCCCTTAAGGTGCTCTGTACAACTAACAGGGCACGTACACAACCAAGGGAATTGCTGTGTGCAGACAGTGCACACCAGCCGCTGATAGCAACAGTGGTTGGTCGGCTTAATTGACTGCAACTTCATTCGCATGCTTTCCCACATGACAGACACCCCAAAACTGGTCCTGTAACACATTTTTTTCACCTGTCAGCTCCAGCACATGATAACATTTTGTTGATCCGGATGACATGGAAGGGGTGCAGGCGCACACGGATGTGAAAACCGTCCTTGCCACAACTCTTCACCATGTATTTGTTGGCACAGATACGAGCAGCTTCTAGAGCTAAAGCAAAAACACGAAGTATAAATATGGCAAAATCAGCCGTGCTCAAGCAGATAGGTTGTACTGTCGGCTACTTACCTTCGGATGACAATTGCTCGTATTCATCTGACACCATGTGCCCACAGAGTGGGAACTCGTCAACCTTGGCCTTTTTCCTGCCCAGATCAAATATCCTGATCTTGGGATCTGAAAAAAAAAAAAAGGGGGGGGGGGGAATAAACATACTGATATGAAGTCATATTGAAATAAATGACCATCAGTTTCTGATATTCTTTATCAATTGTGAAATTACTGATTAAATTAGGAACCAATATTTTGATGAGGCAACTGGGTCCTCTTAGCCAGAACCAGATCAGAATCAATGTTACATGGCTCTCCAAAATTACAGATATGCATATTATTAGATTTTTAAATATAGTTAAACCCAAGAAATGTTAATATCCTACTTACCAGGAACACCCCTGCAGAAGCGGGACTTAGGATAAGGCTTATTCTTGCAGTATCGATAACTAGAGAAAAATAAAAGTTGTGAGTGGGAAACTATAGTTCCTTGATTTAAATAAATTGGTATTGCCCTCTTTTGGTGAAATATAATTTGAGAGTTATTCTTTAGTAAGATGGTCTTAACAATTTCCAATTAAACAATGTTACTGAAATGGAGCGGTGGGGAGATCAAGAAACTGGCTTTAGAGATAAACCACCTATCACCCTTCTAGTACAAAGCTATTTATTAATCTGAAGTGGCAGATATAGCAGAGAACAGCTTCCTGCAGCACATACTTGCATTTTTATATTAATTAAAATGGAACAGAATGCTCCAGCCCTCCTGGCAATTTGTTCACTTGCCACTGGAAAGTTTATGCTTTATTTTCAGGTGACTTCTTTTTGCTTGTACCTACTCTGTGATGACTTAAATTCAAAGCTGTCCTGCATCATGAAGCAAAAGACTAGAAATGTAAAATAATGAACAGTCCTGAACTTTGCTATCCAGTGCCATCTATGGATACTTTTACATGTCACTCTGAATGCTACAGGTAAACTGTTCATTAATCAGCGTTTCTGTGATTGGCAAAGTTATGACAGATAGATAAACTTGTGTATTTAGCCTTCTCTCAAATGCCACTCTGGGTATGATCTTCACTTTGCTCCTAAAAGCCTGATAAATTATTTTGTAGAGCCTGCTCCACTTAGATTTCCAAGTCAACCACCCGGAGGGGGGGGGGCACAATCCAATTTTAGAACTCCTTCTCTAAACACCCCTCCCATCAGAGAACATCAACAATGCTTCTTGGTATAAACTTGGTCCAAACCCAGTATGAAAGTATGAAAGCAGGTCCAAACCCAGTATGATATAGCTATAGGTCAGACCTGCAGTTTAAATGATCTCATCTG